AAATTTTTCCAACATATTTATCAAAACAATCCAGAGATAGTGGACCCATGCAGTTCAAACCCATGTTGTTCAGGGGTCAACTTTATATAAAAAATGAGTATAAATTGAAGTTGCAAAGCTATATTTTCTATTAGAAAAGTAAGTAGAGTACATATGGAAGAATTAGAAAATGAAAAATGAAAGGAAGAAAAAGAATCATTGATAGTTTTACCAACAATGACAACCACTTAACATTTGATAAACTTCCACTTTTTTCTCTTTTAACCTAAGCTTAGGCGTCTGCCATATGCAAGGTTTTTTTTTCCCACAACTAAAAAACTGTTATTTTGTAATGCTAACTTTATGGGAGAAAATAAAAGACATTTTTTTTACTTGCTTGTTACAACTTTTAGAAACTTAAAAAAAAAAATCTGTAGAAAATTGAAAAAATAGTCCAAACAATCCCTGTAGTCCCTTCATCAGGATTCACCAACTGTTAATATTTTGCTACATTGCTTTATCTATCTGTATTTTTTAAAGCAAGACATCATGACACTTTAATGGCAAATACATTGGCATATATCTTCTAAGAAAATATTCCCCTACAAAGCCATATTTTACCTTAATTCAGAAAAATCACTTCATTTACAGTCTCTATTAAAATTTTCCCTTTTTGCCATCAACAAGTCTTTTCATAGTTCTTTTTTTTGACCCAGAATCCAATCAAGGTTTTATACATTTCATTTCAGTGTTTATATCTGTTAATCTCTTTTAATCTAGAATATTCCCCCCACATTTTGTTTGAAGAGTATTGTCCCTGGTCTTTTAGATATTCTGGATATGACTAGTTGTTTTCTGATGATTAGATTCTATTTAAACATTTCAGCAAGTATATTACCTTGCATCAGAAGGTTGATAATGTTGGGTTTCTCACTTTTGGTAATGCTAAATATGACCCTTGGTTAAGGTGCTAACCACCAAATCTCTCCATGGAAAGGTACATTTTTCCCTTTGTAATAAATAAGTAATCTTGGGGGCATATACAGATTTGAATATTGCTATTTTCACTGAAAATTACGGTATGCATATTCTGTGTCTTCTCAAACTCACCTGATATGCTAAATTCTTATAAGCATATAGTTTCTTATTTTTAGTAAAACAATACCTATTTATTGAATTCTCAGTGTGTGCCAAGCACTGTGTTAAATGCTTTATACACACCATCTCATTTATCTAACATTATTTTGCCTTCCATGACATTTCTAGGAGATAGAGGCTATTATTCTCTTCATTTTACAACAGAAGACTTCAAAGAGAAGTCATTCTAATTGTTAAAACTTGGATTCAGTCTGCTCATCTCCAAAGCTTGAGCACTTTACCACTCTGCTGATGCTCTTCTTTAGAAAGTGGATTTGGATATCTAGCATCAGATGAGTTTAAAGTCAAGAAGTAGTAATTTTCTTCACCTTGGTGGTTCTTTATTTCTGTTTTCTTTTCTCTTTTCTTTTTTCTCTCTTCTTCCTTCTTTCCTTCCCTCCTTCACACCCTCCCTTCCTTCATAGTTGTGGTAAAAATACATATAACTTAAAACCTCCCATCTTATTAAGTATACAATTCACTTCATGTTGTTGTGCTACCAGTCTCCAGAACTTTTCTTATCTTGCACAACTGGAACTCTCTGCCTGTTAACTCCAAATCCCTTTCCTCCCCACAGTCTCTGGCAATTACCATTCTACATTCTGTCTGTAAAAATTTGACTACCTGAAGTACCTCATGTAAGTATAATCACAAACATTTGTCTTGTTAGCATAATACCTTCCAGGTTCATCCATTTTATAGCATGTGTCAGAATTTCCTTTTAAAGGCTGAATAATCTTCCATTGTACATGTATACTACATTTTGTTCATGCATTCATCTGTCTATAGGTACTTGGATTGATTCTACCTTTTGGCTTTTGTGAAAAATGACATGATTGTTCAAATTTTTTTTCAAGACCCTGTTTTCAGTCCTTTTGGGTACATAACCAGGAGTAGAAGTGCTGGGTCATATGACAATTGTTTCTAATTTTTTGAGATCCTACCTTTATTTTTAAAGATATCAATCTCTTGGGCATCTCTTTTTAGTAGTAACAATGGTCTGTGTGTAGTGGACAAATTTAAGCAGGAATAGACTTTCCCTTCACTCTGAAAATCTAAGTAGATTTGGGGGTGAATCAATTTTTGTGGTTTTGATAACTTGGAATGAAGAGCCTCCTGCATTTAGGCAGGTTCCTCATATTTTGTGGACCTCTATATTTGATGGCAAAAAAAAAAAACTATCCAAATCTATTAATCCTTTGATATTTCACTGAAGTCCATGAAATTTTTCCCTAAGTACTCACTTCATCAACATTTATATAAATACCTCTTATGCTGTATTTGATTCTTCATTCTCTTTCTTATCTGAGCAGCTATATAGCTTTTTGTTTATCCCTTTCTAGGTGGTAAATTCCAAAATATTTTGACCAAATCTTAGACTACTTATTATCTATACCCTCTCCCTAAGCTCTGCTACAAAAAAAGAAAAGCACGCCCTGCCACCTGCCATCCCACACCCCCAAAATTGCCTGGATAAATAAATTATTCACTAGCCCTTAGAAAATATTTTAGAAGTGTCATTTAACTGTTGTAATTGTTTTCACTTTGCCCTTATAATGTGCCAGGCTTTCAAGGTACTGAAAGACAAAGATAGATGCAATGTAGATCCTGATCTCAAGATGCTTTATAGGCTCTGAGGAAATATTTATATACAGAACTATGTGATGAGTGTTATATTGGTGTTATGAGTACTGTTCTGAGGTACTATAAAGAAGGAAGCCTCAAATAGTTTCCAGAGAGTCAAAGAAGGCTTTAGAGAGAAGGGAATATTTGAGTGTGGCTTTGAAAACTAAGTAGAATTTGAGGGGCTAGAAGAAATGAGGGGACTACTTTATGCAGATGAAAGACAATTTACAATGAGTTAGGAACATGTTCATCATCTTGTCCACTTGTTAAAGGACATAGGCTTTTTTTCTGACTAGTTTGAAACATAGATTATTTATCTCAGAATTACACACATTGTTTTAGTATCAAACTTTCTTGAAAGCAGACATTTTGTTAAAAACCCAGATAGTTTTCAGATGATGAAAAAAAAAGAGGAGTGGCTTTCAGAATGGAGAGCCTTTATTAAGACACAGATGTGCTCTGTAAATAGAGTTGGAAAAATACTGTCAGTGTGTTCTTTGTATATAAATGTCTCTTTTAACTTATCCATGCAGGATCTGAAAAGGAAAGCCACTTCTCTTTCATCAGTCACGAGGTACATGACAACAGGATCATTGATGCACTAGGAAGAGAGCTGGGCTCCGAATCTCACTAAGTGATCTAGAAGAGGGAAGAGACAGCTAGTGTTCCGCCTCAGTTTTTCTGATCAGAGTTCCTGTTGCTCTGAGTGTTTTGCTTTCTCCTCCAACCCCTTCTTCTGTCTGGCAACTCTGAAACACTGTTTGAATTCTAAAATAAGCTGTGATGTTTGTCCTGTATTAGTAGATATGCTAACCTATTGTCATTTCAAGGAATTTCTGGAGATTGAGGAGTTGAGTAGCTTGTCATGTTTTCTGTTGGAATTTCCACTTGATCAAGTATAAATACTGAAATAATACTTTTAAAGTCCACAGGATAATGACATTTTTGCACAGCAAGTCCCCATTGTTCAAGATCTGAACTGAATTTTTTTTTTTTAACCAGAAGATGATGAGGTTCTTGGTACTTGATAATTTTTCTACTGCCTCATTCATAATTTCTCAGTAGGAAACACACATCTCAGTGAATGCTTGAGCTTCTTTTGGATAAGACAAAATGTTTTTTCTGGTAGTCTCACTTTGTTCCTACTGAGACCACATTTAGAGAGTGAAAACAGTTAATTTTCTTGCAAGTAAAGTATGATGGTTTTTGAAACCTGTGGAGTGTGCATTGAAATTATAAAATAGTATTTTTATATGTAAAATAGATTGAATGCTATGGAGGATGAAGGTTTTATTTTTTATTAGAATATAGTTGATAAACAATATTATATTGGTTTCAGATGTACAACATAGTAACTTGATAATTATGTAATGTGTTACTAAATGCTTACTACGATAAGTATAGTTTAGGATGAATGTTTTAGCAGTAGACATTCCTCTGTCATATGGATGGGTAGTAGTGTGGGTTGTATGGCCTGTGTCTTTTGTATCTGACTTGAATGTGTTTTAATAATTGTAAGGTAATTTGGGTTGAGTTACTACAGTACTAGCTCTAAAAGGTTCGCTGACTTCTTTCTATATTTAACATGCAATGCTTTTTTTCTTATCAATGTACGTTTTATGGTGCTTGGGAGAGATTTTTAAGGATATGTCTTTAGTGTCCTATAAAGACAGTTTTATAGTTTATTAGGTGTTATATAAGTCTTATGCATATGTCTTTTCTGTGCACACTCAAAATTCCACAAAAGGGACTTGTTCCTATTAGTGTCCTAAGACTTGGCCATGTTGGCCATAAAGAACCAGCCTAATAAATTTCCCCATTTTTTTACTAAGGCATTGAAAAAAAGACATGGTTTCTTGAGGTTGTAAGTAACAATGTTTCTCTGGGCAGCTCCATGTGAAGCAATTCTGGTCTTGAATGGAATGTGCCATCTTCATTAGTGGAAGTGAGACCCTAACATAATCAGAATTTACAGACAAACATCCCCTACCATGTCTATTTTACCTAAACTGGCTCTAAAACATCATGTTCTACATATGGAGACTTGGACCTCATATTTAGTTGATGCCCTTGATTGGAGGGCTGGGAAGAAGATCATCATGATAAAAATACTGGCTGACTTAGAGTCATTTATTGCTAATATTTATATTGGACTAGAGAGAAATCATATATCTTAAGTATGACTTACATGTTTGGTCAGTGGTAGTAAATTATGGAATTAGATTGAGTCCATTTTCTTGTTCTGTTTTGTTTTCTAGGTGCGCCACCGAGCTTCTGGTCAGGTGATGGCTCTTAAGATGAACACGCTGAGCAGTAACCGGGCAAACATGCTGAAAGAAGTGCAGCTCATGAATAGATTGTCCCATCCCAACATCCTCAGGTAATGGCTTTTCTTTCCTTCAGAATCAGTGAGAAAGCTGAAACATTATTGGAGGCCTGTTAAAATAGCATTAACAGGAATTTAGAATTTAATGCTGAATTTATCTGCTGGGGTTTAGCTGTGCTGTAGGTGTTTTCTACCTATTGTGACTTAATTTTCTGATAATTAACTGCATGTAATAAAGCAACTTCTTTCTGTCTCTCATTGCTTTACTCTTATTAGCAACTCATTAGGACAGTTGTTTCCTCTTGCTGAATTAGTAATCTATCAAAGAGAAAAGATTTTAGTCTATGCAATTAATTTTCTTAATCACTTTATGAGGAATCATAATTAAATCAGTGAATGGAATAAAGTAAAATCATGCCCCCAGGCTATCTACCCCTAACTTTTAGCATTCGCTTGAGGAGACATAGTTTACCTTTTTAAATAATTATTTTTATATATAATAAGGTTATATAATCATTCACTTTCTTATACTCAGTATCTGAATCTTTCTCACTCATCATGAGTTTTTATTGATTAGTGTATTTCCAAATGAAACCAAGTAAGATAATTTAAGTCAATATATATTTAAGTAGAGTTTAAGTATAAGACACTTTCAAAAGTTAAGGCTGCTATTTACTTAAAGTCACTTATTGTTAATACTTATATTGGACTACAGAAAATCATACAGTGTAAGTGTGACTTACATTTTCAGTCAGTGGTAGTAAATTATGGAATTAGATTATACCGCTTACTTCAAAGTTTCTATCTTTCTATAGAATAATTGGCTTTCTAGTATACTACAAAAATGTTCAGCCAGTATTTTTAATATGATGATTTATCTTCCCAGTCCACAAATCAGATTAACAAATTTTTTTGAGCCTGTTTCTGTGTCAGACATCAGAAAGAAAGGTATAAAGGTATATTTAAATGGAATGTCTGCTAGCAAAGAATTTATACTCTAATTGGGGATCTAGGACTTACATACATGAAAAGAGAACTAATAAACTCAGCTGGGACACCACCACTTCAGAGGAATAAACTCTAAATGTTATGGAAGTTCAAAGGAGTGAATTATGATATTACTTGGCAGAGTCAGAGAAACTCTCTTGGAGGAGATTGACTTGAATTGAAACTCAATTTTAATAGGATTTTAGAGATAAAGAAGGAACTCAGAAAGGAGCTCATAGTAATAATGCACAGAGGTAAAAGTGTAAAACTTTTTGAGGATTCAGTGAATAAAAACCCATTTGGCTAATAATAACAATAATGAGAAAACCACCATCTGTTGTAGGCTTATTGTATGCTCTGTACTTTACCTATTTAAAGATTTAATCTTCACAACTATTTTCCCTTGAAGGAACTGATGCCAAGAGATTATGTGTTGGCCAAGGTCTGTCTCTGAGGCGCTTTCACCATGCCTCTCCTAGAAGAACTGAGGGGTTTGACAGGATAGCATCAGTTGATAAATGTAGAAAGATAGAATTGGGCCAAATTATTTATAAATATATTGCATAAAGCCAAGAAGATTATATTTTGTGCTGTTTGTATTGGATTCTGAGCAATGACTAGAATGACAGAGGATAACTGATGGCAAATGTAGAATGGTTTAGTGTTAGGGAGATTGGTGGCCTCTACAGTATTTGAGAGTAAGATGGGTGAGTCTTGATTTGATATTCTGCTTAGGAACTTTTAAGCTGATCATATTTTCATCTTGCTTAAAAAATAGTATTTTTATCATTTTTGTTATTATTACAGAAGTGATATATCATTACTGTGGAACATTTAGAAAATAGGATTAGCAAAAACAAGAATATAAAAATTGACCTTAATTTCAGCTCCCAGGGAATCAAACTATTATTAACATTTAGTATATTTCCTGCCATTCTTTTTTATTTCATCACTTCTTTTCTTACTCTCTTCACTCTGAACTTGACTGGTGAATGCATGGGCAGATTGACTTAAATAAGTTTTATTTCACCACAGCAAAAATTTTAAATATAGTTGTTACATAATAGAAGTAGTATAATATAGTATAATGATTAAAAATGAAGGCTCTAGATTCTAGATCAAGCTGCCTGTATTCAAATCCTAGATCTTGAGAAAGTTCTTTAACCTCTCCCACTTTTAGTTTTCCCATCTATAAAATGAAGGTAAATATGTCATAGAGTTGCTATTGAGGATTAATCAAACTAATGCACATAAAGTACCTACGATAGTACCTGGCTGTATTAGATGCCCAGTAAATGTTAGGTATTACTACTAATTTCTTTTCCTGTGGGTAGTTCTTTAAATGGCCCATTGAAGTCTGTTTTTCTTTTATTATTCATTCACTTACCAAACATTTGTTGAGGGTACTACTGTTTTCTGTTAGAGTAATGCTGTTGAATAGAACTTTCTGAAGTGATGGAAATGTTCTTAATCTGTGCTGTCCAATAGCCACACTTGGCTAATGAGCATTGAAATGTGACTAGTAGGAACAAGGAACTGAATTTTTATTTGATTTGATTTAAATTGCCACATGAAGCTAGTGATTATTGTACTGGACAGTACTGGGCTAGAGTCCACCCAGACATTTGCTCTTGTTTTGTTAAACATATACTTGTACCAGTCTAGAAATGTGGTGGTGCAATGAGACCAGTGATACCATTCCTCTTCTTAGGTAAGAAAGTAGATCAAGGAGAACTATCTCTTTTTGGTCTCGTTGCTCAGGAATGACACCCCTCCCTTTTAACATACAAAAAGTAAAATTTTTTACTCTCAGCTAAGTTTCCTATTTATAAAGGTAGTGTTAACTGTATCTTGATCTTCTCAATAAGTCAACAAATGAGATAATGCAATAAAGCCTATGGATCTGTTATAATTCACAGTAAGTATGTAATACATGAAAATTATTGTAATTACTGTTAACTGTGGAAGGTTTGCACTCTGATGGTAACTTTATTTGTTTTGCATAAGCTATCTGTCTCACATACATTGCAGCTAAAAATCTGGAAGTTTCTTTTAAGAAGAAACTTCTAATTGTTTATATCTTTAATGTTTTTGTATCTTCACTTTTATTGTATATTTTGAATACAACAAAAGGAAATTATCCTATTAATGGCCTAGAACAAGCAGAGTCCTCTTGGCTTTTGTTATCAAGAGTAGTACTACAGCAGTAGAAATATCTATTATATTTCCCTAGTGTGCCTTAAATATTAAACTAATCGTGACTATGTTCCAGTCTCAAAATTATTAGAATTTTTATTTTCTAGATGCTTTTCTAGTTCTTAGAAATTTACTATTAATACTTTATATTTTTTATAATTAAAAAATTTTTGTTATTAATTGTTAGTATGACTCTTAGTCTGTTTTCAAGCTTTAAGTATAAGCTCTCTTTTATAGATGCAGAAATGAGGCTAAAGTATGAACCACAATTTTCCCTCAAATTGAGATTATTAGATTTAGGAAAAAATTCATCTCCTGGAACTCTAGGATTTTCACAAACAATACTCAAGGGCTGACCCCAGGAGGGTGATTGATGAACAGACAAGGCTTTGGTTTACCCTCTGCTTCACCCAGGCAAGAGCTCCACTTATCTGTTCTACATTGAACTTCTGTATAAGAGTTTTGAAGAAAGTGTCTCATGCCTAAAAACAAAGAAAAAGTTGAAAAGTCACTGCATTAGTGATTGGTAAATCTGCTTGGGAAAGAAGGCTATCTGCATGACTTGCCAGATGGTCAACACATCCAATTCCAAGCATGCCTTTGTCCTCTGCTGGCACAGCTGTTCTGTGCCCAGCAGGAGTGGGTGAGCTCAACTTTTGCAGTTTTGTTTCTTTTCCTTGACCCTAAACTCCCTACTTCTTCTTTTTCCTTTTACCTTTCTCCCTCCTAAGATTTCTAGTTAGGAGGAAAAGAAGGCCTGGTAAGTCACAGACGCAGTAGGTGTGTATATATTGTTTGTGTGTATGTAATTTTTTAATTACATTGAAACAGTTAAGATTGGTTGTTTTATCATCAGTTGCTCTAAGTTATCAGTTAAAAAAAGGAACAATAAAGTACTTTGTTGTGTGCAGGAACTGATTGTTCAGACCTCTTGTGAATAAGGATGTTTTTGCCAGGAATTCTTATGCTCAAAATCTGTAACCCAATTCCATGCCCTGCTTACTTCTACTCCCCAATGGCCTTTCTGAGGACCTGGACCAAGATTTGTTCTCATACTTCTTTGTTATTCTTCATGCCATGAGAAATTCAGTATTTCTTTTAGATGTCTTGTTCACATTTACGTGCTTACTGTTTTTAGGCCACATTCTGAATTAGTTTTAGCTCCTCTTCAGAATCCATTCACAACGATATGATGACCATTTTATTAAAATGGAGAATATGCCTTCAATTCACCAAATATTTATTTGGACCGACTCAGTCCAGTCCTGTGCTAGCTGAATACAATAAAAGTAGAGGGCTGTTGTCTCCCATATAGTCTCCTTCAGAAGCAAACTATATATATCTAAAGAACAGATTAGTATCAGCTAATGCTATGAGATATGGCAGGATATTTTTCCAATCTCAGTTATTAAGGTAACTTTCCAGTTACCCATTCTGAAAATTCCAGTCATCTTTGGTTGTTCCTTGCTTTTAATTAGAAGCTAAGTTCTTGAACCTAAATCTTCAAATACTTTTGCGTCTGTTTCTTCCCTTCTACGTCTTTCAGTTCAGCCTTCACTTTGCCTGGTGTGACTTATTTTATTTATCTCTTGGTTCCCCTTTTCAGTTTTAATGACATACAGTTCTAATTGTATAGCTTACTTCTTAAAAATCTTTTGTGGCTTCCCTTAATTTCAGAACTGAGTTGGAAATCTTTTAGAATGACAGTAAAGGTCTGATCTGTTTTTCCAGCTGTATCTTCTGCTATTCCTCGTAGGCACTTAATACAACTCATGATTTCCTAATTGTGTTCTCTTGGGCCAGTTATTTTACCTCTGGGCTTTAGTTACTCCTTTTATTAAAGGAGGGAAATGGGCCAGATCAGTGGTTAG